CATTTCAACTGCATTAAGGATGTAGCTAGTAACATTCTCTGTTCTGAAGTTTAATTGTGAGTGATTTTGTGATTTTGCCGTGGCAATAAATGTGGATTGGTGATAGTCAAATATGACAAGTAAACATTTAGTTTTAGTCATATTGAATATTACTATTCTGCATTGCATGGTAACTTTGGTTGACATATTTAAATGGCCCTAAATTATTTCACGTTAACAAATGTGTTTACATGTTTCTGAACATTAACATTTCCTTTGACTGACATCACCAAGAGTTAAACAGATGCCAAGAGGTCCTCCATATTTTAAGTGAATCTGGACTAATTCAATTACATTTTTCTAGTCACCAACAGTAGAAATAAATATTTACTCTAACCTGAAACAATGAAATCCACTTGCAGAAGTAATGTGATCCAGAAGAAGGCATCATTAAGTACAAATACAAACAAATAAAACGCTTCCCCATGACTCCATGTCAGATGCTGTTTCCTTCTAAGGCTGATCTGGAACTATTTTATCATTCTCTGAGGCCTGTTGTTCATCTTACATGTGCATGTGAAAACTGAAAGTGTAAATGTCTCATTGTGGTTGAATTATCAAACAAGCAATCATTGTGCAATTCAGTGATGTATTGCAGCCAGTTTCGGTTTACATTTTTGTTAAAATGGGGGCAGTGTGTGGCTCAGCAAGTTAGACTGCTGTGCCTGTGATTGGAAGGTTTCCAGCTCAAATCCCAGGGTCGCCAGAGTGATTTCACCATAGGGGTTTTGTGCAAAAGTCTTAACCACCAGTTACATCCCTTTTTAATTAAAAATAAAATGTAAGCGTAAAACCTGAAACAGTAATTGTGTACTATGAATCCAATCATCCATCCATTTTCTATAGCTGCTTATCCAGTAGAGGATCCCACCCCAGAGTACTGGGCACATGGCAGGGACACTCCGGATGCCAGTCCAAGTTGGGCCATGCATACACTATGGGCATTTCAGCAACATCAGCTGACCTTACTGCATGCTTTTGGACGGCAGAAGGAAATCAGAGTAGCCTGAGAAAAGCCACACAATACAAACTCCACACAGAGTTGGGGGCATTCAGTGAACAAGCATGGAGGTGTGAGGCGGCACTGTTATGACCTGAGACATTCATATTTGTACTACAAACAGAAATGCCTAAATAAAGCTGTTATGACTGAGACTGAGTAAAATGACAACAGCAGGGAAACTTTCATGGGGACAACAGAAACATCTGAATAAGAAACATTTGTTAACGGAAAGGAAAATAATCAAACACACAATCTTTGGAAGGCACCTTTTCCTTGCTCTTAGATCCCCACTTGTGCAGTGGTCTGAGCGGTGAGGTATGTGGCTAACTTAGAGGACCAATAAGATTTCTCTTGCAATACATGGCAATGTGACCTGCACGCTACTGTAAGTTCTCTAAGTTTTATGTAGAACAATGACAGGAAATAACAAATCACTGTACCAGCTACATAGACAGGCAATAATATTAAGGGATTAAACCCACCTCCCAGGCTGGCAAAATCTACCGAGGAAGTTGTCAGATGCACTGTGAAATTTATTTCTGGTTACAGTCCACTGTACCTTTATTTTATGTGAAAAAGGAGCCATTATCTCAATGCCTAAATCAAGGACTCAGTTGCTAATATATGGTTCCTAGCCAGATTTTCACCCTCATTATGTTTAATAATAATATCTGTAACTGTTTCATAAGTTTGACTGAATAAACAGAGACATCAAAATTCCTTCATGCTGAAATGCCTCTCTGTGACAGTGCCTGTGTGATGTAAACAGGAAAAATCACATGATTCAACACTTTCACAGCCACTGCATTATAATGAATGAACTGCAGACAAAACAGGAATTGTGTGCTGAGACTGGACCAAGTAAACAGTACATGAAACACTCTTGGCAATGCATATGAATGTGTAGATATATTAATTCATTGCATGCCTAGCAGAACTCCAAAAACAGATATAAATCACAATTTCATTGTTAAATAGATATCGCATTTATGAAATTACTAAATACCTACAGACTTTTACATTCTTATTTAAAACCCGAATGCTAAAACTACTATGTTGCCTCCCACTTCTGTTCTGGTGCAAAATGCATGTCATGGTTTCAGAAGTAAGTTCACCACAACCTTAGGACTGCAAGAACTTAACACTGAAACAGATCATTTCACATCTCTGTCATTTGTAAATGAACATAAAAATAATCAGTGAAGAGTGCTTGAATTGTAGGCAGTAATAAAGTTTTACAATGAAACGTTTTGGATATCATTGGCCAGGATTCCCCAGTTCTGGTCCTGGTGCACCAGAATCCAACACAGTTTGCAGATTTCCCTGCTCAAACACACCTTAATCAGCTAATTACCAGGTTTAGAAGGTGTGTCTGAGCAGGAAAATCTGTGAACTGTGTTGGATTCAGACCCCTAGGACTGGAATTGGGCAGCCCTGCCATAGGTTTTTGACCTTCAAGTGAGGAAACATGTGAAGTTGCTTGTTTAGTTGTTTACATGAAGTTGAAGGACAGTGGTTATATTAAATATGCAGGTTTGAGGGCAGGCAAAATAGAAAGCAGGACTTTGCATGCAAAATATAACATGTGGACACATAGACACAGTATACCCTTGAGAAGGGTGCTCAACCAGAGCTACTGTTTTACAAATACTCAGTTCTTGCTTCTATTAATAAACAGCTATAGTATTAAATGATTCATCCCTCCATTTTCTGAAACTACTTGTCCTATGTAGGGTGGCAGGGGGTCCAGAGCATATCCCAAAAGCTACAAGTGCAACGCAGGGAACAGCCTAGGATGGGGTGCCAACCCATCGCAGGGCACACTCACACACCATTCACTCACACACCATTCACTCACACACCATTCACTCACTCACCATTCACTCACACATCATTCACTCACACACCAATCACTCACACATGCACACCTACAGGCTATTTGGTAACTCCAATTAACCTCAGCATGTTTTTGGACTGTGGTGGGAAACTGGAATACCTGGAGGAAACCCCACAACCATATGGGGAGAATGTGCAAGCTCCCCACATGGAACTCTGGCGAAGACTCGAACCCTGTGTGATGTGTGAGGCCCCCTGTGACCCCGTCCAGGAGAAGACCTTAGAAGATGTATGCATTAACCATCTGGAATATATTCAAACTACAAAGCATAAAATGATAGTTTACGAACATGTTTGGGGAAAAGAATATTACATGTTGTAATAGGAACTTGTTTTCTCAGATAAGTCAGCCCCAAAGTTTGTAACTATGGGTTTCGAAGGTGCTTGGATACCTTGGCAGATTCAGGGGGTCCACTTTACTAGGACCCTTGAATATGCAATAGTATATGTCAAATTGGGTGGGGGGGGGAAGCTGACATTCCTTCAGGGGGCCCAGAAATTCTATCTGTGTCCCAGTCTATAACATTGTATTATTTAACTTGTTCATTCTTGCCTTGCACAGGACAGACAGATACTGTAGACAGGTTGGTAAGCAAAGTCACAGTCTTTTATTTATTATATGCACAGTATGACAGCAACTTCCTTACACTGAAATGCTGGAGGTGAGTCTGGGGTAATCACAACACAGGCAAAGATATGAGCAGTTTAAAACGGGAATTAGGCACAAGCAGAGTTTGATGTTTCACACTTGCAGGAGGCAAAAAACCCACATCCTGCTTACCTTATGTGTTAACACAAGTATCTGATGCAAAAATAACATATTATTTTGTCTTCTTATAGGGAATCAACAATCCACTTACATAAACGTGTAAAGCGACAGCACAGAGCACAATCATAACCTCACAATACCATCAATCTACTGAGCCTTTATGGTAAACAACTGCATTCAAAACTCAAAGAACTAACCAAAACAAACTGCAAAACCTCTGCATTAACACTATTCGCCTCAGGCGACTGGGAGCACTGCCCCCTGCTGTAGTAAAAATATAAATACAACATAAGGTAAACAATTTATTGTGCTATAAGATTTAAACAAGCAGCAGCATTAACCGTAAAGTGCCTTTAATGAGATCTATATTTGTTCCAGGATGACACAAACTAGTGTAAATTGTAAATTGACTAGTGTAGTGTCTACTACATAATAGATGGATGACCGTGCTCCATAGTGATTCCGATGACCTTCTTCGGGAAGTGTGAGTGATAGATGTCTTGTAAGGCTGGGAGCTAAGCCAATCTCACCATTTCGGCACCTTCAATTGCTTCCATTTTATTACATTATTTTTTTACCCCATAAGAAAATACAACAGAAACCATTAAGGTCCACTGAGATCTAAACCGTACACTGATGCAGAACTGTACAAAAATCTCTTGCATATCTGATATGATATCATTGGATCAAAAGCCACACACATCCAATATCAACACTACAATTTAAGCCAGTATTTGACTTTAATGAAAAAAATAAGTTATTTTTTTCTTAGCATAAAGTGCAGCACAAATGGCATTTCATTTTATTGCACACCTCAGGCTAAAGTCAGCCTCGTAGGGTCTTCAGTCTCTGGTGGTTTTGCAAAGCTTATAACTTTGGATGTGACCTCACTATATAATAGATAAAAATATCTTCTGCTGCTGTAAATTATTTGGTAGGCATTTAATAAATCTTGTTTGGACCGTCACTGTTGGACCGTCGCAGTCAGCACAGAGTACAATGCCGGCGTACACCATTTACGAGATACCACTTGAAGGCACATAGACTCACACGTGTTCAGAGAAGTCAATTAGTCAAACTCCAGGAGTTTGTTTGTAACGAGTTTGTTGCTATGTAACCGTTTTACAATGGGGACTCTAAACAGCAAAGACAAAAGCAACTATTTTGCATAGAGCATACTTTTTACTTCATTGGCATTACACGACACGGCAGTTAAATGGCCTAATTACAAATTTCCAGTGGAAAGCAGACGGACCACACAGACCGCCATGAGGACGCATGTAGGTCTCGTTAGCCCCGCCCAATGGGCGTGGCCAGTGTGCGTGACGCAGAGCCTGAGTGCGCATGACAGGTAGTGACTTTGGGTCTCTGCTGTATAGGGAAGCAAAGGGAGGCTAGTAAAGCAAGTAAATTATTCTAACAATGGTGAGTTTATTTAACATTTTGCGCATTCTGTGCTATCATGTATGTCTGTTACGTGAATCAGTCAGCGACTGCTCGTTATTTTTGTATGACTAACTGCAGTCTGTCTACAGCCGGCTGCATTTTGCTGGGCGCTGTTAGCGATGTTTAGCTAACGTTAGCTGGGTAGATGGTTACCTAGCGACTTTAACGGATTAGCTGTATAAACGAGCATAAGAATGAATGGCGCAGAGGCAGCTCGCTGTCTAGAAGCTTCCTTCCGGCTGTTTTCTGTTTAGCTGGGTGAAATGATTAATATGATTTGATGGTGCGTAGTTGCTAGTCATCTTTGTTGCTAGACATCTATGTTGCTATCACAATGAATAGTGATGAAGCGTGAAATGCCGTCTTTCGTCATTATTTTATATACGTAGTAGTATGTTATACGGTGCACAACTATGAATTGGTCGTTTGTCAAAAAAGTGACTGATTTGCTTCATAGGCCGAAGTCGAGGAAACACTGAAACGGATCCAGACCCAAAAGGGAGTTCAGGGGATCATCATCGTCACAGCAGAAGGTACTGGAAGGATCCTGGTCAATGTTGTATCAGCTGGTTTCCCGTTTTACCTAACTATCCGGATACCTTAAAGCAGAAACTCGTAGTGTTAAAGTTATAGTCTGAGCTTTTTGTCTGTACTTAAATAGTTTCTGTAACATCTAATGGTGTCCTGAAGCTTTCGTTGTTCTGTTGGCATTTTTATGCACGTTAACAATCAGTTGGATCAGGAGTTTTCTGCCTTGGACTTTCATTACATTTTGCATAATATTTGACACTGATTTTGCCGCCAGATGCAGTAGCATTGCCCATGCCATTGTTTCTTAAATAATGAAAGTAATTTAATGCAAAAAATATCAATTTAGTGGCACTATTTTTGTATATGTTCATTTGTATATATACACATCCACACACATTATTTTGAGGGAAAGCGGTTCACTGCTTACACTATGTGCTACTTTATTGTGTCCTGGTTTTATCTGTCTTTGGTAACCATGGCAATTCTGAAAAGAAGAACATTGATGTCATACATGAAATTTAAGCCAGTAACTGAGTTCCTGAAGTGGGCTGTCTCTTGTCCCAGGAATCCCCATCAGAAGCACTCTGGACAACGCCAGTACTGTTCAGTATGCCGGCCTCATCCAGCAGCTGGTGATGAAAGCACGGGTAACAGTGAGGGAAATGGACCCCCAGAATGACCTCACCTTCCTCAGGATCCGCTCCAAGAAAAATGAGATCATGATTGCTCCAGGTTCTCATATACTCTGATATTTCTGAGGCAGGCTGCCTATTCAGACAAGATTTTTAAAATTTTGTCCAATACCTTGCATATAATACACATTGTATTTATATATCAAAGGTTATTTTCAGAGAATTTAGCCTTTTTAAGAATAACATGGTTTTTGTAGAGGTACTGTTACGTATGTACTAGCATCTTATTTTAATGGTACTTTGATGGTTCTGTATAAAAGGTACACATTGTATCTTGCTGAAAGTGTACAGCTGAGTTGAATGTAATCTTTTTCTTTTTCCCCAACAGATAAGGATTATTTCCTCATTGTGATTCAAAATCCGACTGACTGAACACAACCCATTATCCTTTTTAAATACATATTAAATACTATTATTATTATTATTATTATTATTATTTTTATGTTTATGTTGCAGATACTTTAGGAACACTACCTGAAAATAGAGGTTTTCTTCATGGTCAAGATCCTTTGGAAGTTTTGACAGTGTCTGTGGAAGCTTCAAGCTGATGTACATTTAAACCCATAGTTCTAGTGCCATTTCTTTAAATAAATCTCAAATGTTATTAGTTGATCTTCATTGACTTCACTTTATTGTAAAGCATACATCATATTATGAAGATATGAAATATTCAGTTTATACATACTTTTAGGCTTTTGGTTTTTATAATGAAAATTCATTTAATTCTAACCCCAAGATTAACTATTGTCCTTCCTGCACCCTGTTCTTTATTTGACCATCAGTAATATAAAGACTGTTGTACCATTCTTTGTAAATCAAACCTTTCCACATTTTTAATTGGGCATTTGCAGAATAGTCCAGACTGCAGTGATTGTGTCTGATTTAAACCTTTTGTTGACGTGCTTCTAGTGACATTAGGCATAATTTTGTATTGTTACTGATTATTTTGTACTGTTACAGAAATCACTGACCCATTGTAAATATACTCTGGAGTACTAATACTATTTCATAATCATAATACGCATCACCTTGAATATAAATCCCTTGTTTTCTTAACATTCTTTTGAAAGATTATTGATAATGATTAAATAAATGCAGGAACTTGGCCCTCATACTGTAGTAAAATGTTATATTCTGTGGTGGAGTATATTCACGGATAAAGTAATTCAGACACCACATAAAAATGGGTGTGCTACTTTGAAGTAACAAAATCATGACTATAAACAGCTGCAAAAATGAATGGCTATTAGCAGTATATCTCGTCTATAAAAGATCTAACAAGATCTTTGATGTGTGAATTTTCAAAGCAACATGCTTTGCAGTTACTTGTTGCGTCAAAAGGAGCAGTATGGAAAAAGCATGTGAGCATCTGCTAAACGTGGACATACTGCCGTGGCAAAGAGGAACAGCGTGCGTCCTTCGGAACTCGCAGACAGGGAATGATAAACGCTTAACGGTAGCTGCTAAACACCTCTAAAGTAGACCCTAAAGAATTACTACAGAACTGACTCACCATCTCTGTGCCCCAGTCTCAAAAACTGTACATTGTGAGCATCGAAATGCTGGAATTTAGTTCAGGAGCCACTTGTATCCAAGATTAATGCACGAAGATGCTGTAAGGTGCACAGAACAGCGAAGGGCAGTAATACACTGTGGTCTGATGAGTCATCGTTCACCCATTTTCCTACATCCAGTGGGTGTTTGTTAGGATAAAGCCAAAGGATGCCTGTTGAAAGTCATTAGGCCTGCTGATTGCTCTGATTGGTCATATAATGGCCAGAGAACATGGTGCCAAGTTTCAGGACCAGTGAGGTGTCTAATGAAGTGAGTTTACTGGCTTAGTGAGGTTTCTTGAGGCTTATGAGTTTTGAGTACCACAAATTGTAGTTCACTTTTTAAACGGGGTACATTGCCATGGCAATTTGCACTGTACACCTGATGTGCTCCAGTTAGGCTTAAGTTCAGGCTTTCTAATTAAAACAGGTGTGAGTTGTGCCCTTTCCCTAAAAAACATAGTCTATATAAAAGCTGGCGTTTAATTAAATTGTAGGAATGGGTGATACCACAGGTTTTCATTTCCGTCTGACACCAAGACTGCCCTAGTGATGCAAATACTGTTCTCCTATATTCCAAGACAATGATGGCCCCATAGCAGGGTTGTGCAAAATTCAGAATTTATGAATTGAACTGGCCACCCTCCACAGGATATTGAATTGGAATTTGAATTGGAATGCCTGGAAGAAGAATTTGATTTCAATGAAATTCAATGCAATCACACAACATGGGAATGTCATTTAATCTAGAAAAACACAAATACATAATAGATTTACTTTCTAAATGGGAGATGTGTATACTTTTATAGTTTGTATGAATAGGTGAAGTGGACTTTTTATTTTCATGACTGTAAGACAATTTCTGTATAAGTTTTAGCCAATTCTTTTCTGTTATAAATATTTATAATAAGAAAGACATCTTTTTCCTTTGTCACGTAGTTTTTGTTTTTGCATATTTAACTGTTTATGTGTGTTAGCATTTGTGAGGATCCTACTCAAGAGTGTCCGTAGGTTTTCAGATGTACAGGGTCGTGATGGGGATAGCAGTATGACTCAAATGTATGTTTTTTGTTATTGATTGATAGGTGGTTAATTTTTTAACAAGCAATTGAAAGTAGGGATACGGATGGCATAACAAATTAATTTATGCAGTTGTTCCTATTTATTTATTGATTATTTAATCAAAAAATAATCTGTTCAACTTTATCACTATAACAAAAAAACAAAACATCATGGCAAGTGCAGTCAGCAAATCACCAAAAGATCTTTTAAATAAAATTTAAGGATTGCAACATTCTAGCTTGCTACACTGAAGATTCTCTCACCAGGTACAGAGAAAGCTGCTTATGCAAGGTGCTTGCAGGCAAGTTGTGCTAGATCAGGAATGCTGATTTGGTTTCAAATAGGCCAAAGATGGTTAACTCGGGTATACAGTAACATTATCTGAAGCTTTGTTGACAAGTGAAGGACTAGTTTGACTTTCCATTTGGGGAAAGAGGTTGGGCTGTTTCTTTGGGTGGGCACTGCAGTCATTATAGCCATCCTTCAGTTTTGGGGAAAGGCACTCCTCTCTTTCTTTGAGGAGATCCACCGTAGTACATGGAATGACAGTAATTTATTCAATAGGTTACACTTCAAGTGGTGCATTCTTTTATTCAGAATAACATCATCACATATTGCATCACAACATGGTACCCAGGGAGCAACTCTGAGAACAGGAAGGCCCTCCAGCGCATCATCACATATTACATCACAACATGGTACCCAGGAAACACCTCTGAGATCAGGAAGGCCCTCCAGCGCATCATCACATATTACATCACAGCATGGTACCCACGAAGCGTCTCTGAGGACATGAAGGCCCACTAGCGCATCATCACATACTGCATCACAGCATGGTACCCAGGGTGCACCTCTGAGAACTGGAAGGCCCTCTAGTGCCATGTTGTACAGTGCCAATGAAGATATTTTGTATCTTTATATGTAATATTTTATTGTAAATCTACTTATTAACCTTAAATTAGAATTGCAGTTCAAATTCATTTCAAATCCATGAACTGAATTGGAATTTCAGGGCCATTATAAATTTATTTAGAAATGGTGCACAACCCTGCGTCATACAAACAGGTAAATACAGTCAGGACCGTAAATACTTTGACACTGATACACGTTTTACTATTTTACCTGTTTACTGAAATATATTCCAATTGAAGTTATACAATGGGCATTGACATAAAGTGCAGACTCAGATCCACATTCAAATTAGATGAAGGGTTTAGGAGTTTCAGCTTGTTAACATGTGCCACCCTCTTTTTAAAGGGGCCAAAAGTAATTGGACAATTCACTTAAAAGCTATTTCATGGACAGGTGTGGGCAATTCCTTCGTTCTTTCATTATCAATTAAGCAGATAAAAGGCCTGGAGTTGATTTGAGGTGTCTTGTTTTGCGTTTGGAAGATTGAGGTGTGAACATACAAGTGAACAACACTCTCCAGAAGGTATGTGTATCAATATCCAAGTCTACAATAAAGAGAAGACTGCATGAAAGCAAATACAGAGGGTTCACTGCAAGACGCAAGCCACTCATAAGCCTTAAGAAT